AGAAAATAACACATTTGATTTCTTCCCTGGAAACATGAGCAGAAAGAAAACTGGAATGTTGGATATGTAGGCAAGGGCCATTCTTGATGATATTACTATCAGGAGTGTCAATAATGACTGCTGTCCTCAAGAGGTTTTTATAATAGGAAGTCAGCTCCTTAGCAATTGCCTCAGTGTCAGTGATTCTAGCACCAGATTCATCATAGAGGACTAAAACTCTGTTATGATGCCTGTTTGATTTTACGATGGAATGAAAAAGTTTGGTGCATCTATCCCCTTGAACATTCCATGCAATTCTAGCTTTTTTCTTATAGTAGGGTAATTCACATTCAGAGAGATTGTTAAAGGAAATCAAACACTCTTTTTTTTGTTCAATGAGAGCGGCATTTAAAGGGTCCTGCTGTAAAGCCCTTTGGATATCCTCTAGTGCATTCCTTGCTCTTAGAACCTGCTCACTAATGTTATTGTAATGTTTCTTGTTGAGCTCCTTCAAAGCATTCTTCAGCAATTTGAGTTTAGAAAAGACTGAGAACATAGCATGACCTTGGATTAAAGTTTGCCAGATAGATGAGACTATAGGAAGGAAAGTAGGATGTTTGGTCCACATCTTAAAGAACTTAAAAGGCTTCTTTCCTTGAGTATTGTCCTCATAAATTGAAATAAGAGCAAGCGAGTGGTTAGAGAAACTAGGGAGTAAGAATTCAGCATGGCTAGAATTATATCTGAGTAACCAAGTTTCATTGATAAGAGCTCTGTCCAATCTACTCCAAATTCTTGTGTTTGGGTCTTGTTTGTAACTCCAGGTAAAAAAAAGAACCCATAGTTTTCAAATGAGAGAGATGGCAGCTGTCAATAAAGGACTTGAAGTCTAAAATATCAGCATAAGATAGAGCAACTCCTCCTAACTTTTCATCATTACTAATCAGTGCATTGAAGTCCCCACAAAGAATCCAAGGAACTTGGCCAAATGCTTGACATAATTGGCATAGACTCAACCAAAGTACTTTTCTAGCTTCAGCTTGATTGTATCCATAAACTGATGTAATGAGTCAATCCAATCTCCCATCGATGGATTTAGCAAAACAAGATATATGTTGAGGGGAGCAGTAGACAACATTAATATCTAGAACATTGGGATCCCATAAGAGAAAAATTCTGGCCTTTTCAGCATTACTCCCATTAGCGTACCACTTCCAATGATTTGCAAGCCTCTCTGCAATTTCAGGTAGAATAATCCCCTTTATATTTGTTTCAAGTAAGGGGCTATTTGATTGGTTTCCTAAAAACCAAAAAAAGAAATTTTTGTACTTTTTCATTAAAATATTATTTTTATCCATTTCTATCCCTAAAACTCACCCCAATAAAAGGAAATCTATACACTTTTATCAATAAAATATTATTTTTATCCACCAACTTATCACATCTCATCTCTTTTCTTACTTTTAAAAATAAACCAAACACCAGAAATAGGTCACATCATCCAATTTATCTCATCTCATCTTTAAAAATCACTCACATCATCCAATAATATAGTGACAACTCATCTTATCTCATTAACATTTCATTTTCACCCATTTCCTCAAAAAAATCAAGAAAATTGATTTCCTTAATTGTGGGTCACGTCATCCAATAATATAATGACAACTCATCTCATCTCATCTATTTTCTTATTTTTAAGAATGAATCAAATACAAGAAAAGAACCTATTATAGCAAATAGGTTTCTTATAATACATTTCTTATTTTTTTTAACCAACCAAACAATCTCAAAATAAGTTTTCTTAAAAAATTACTTACATCATCCAATAATATGGTGACAACTTATCTCATCTCATCTCCTATTCTTTGATTTTCTTCTTTTTTTAGCCAACTAAACAACCATAATACAAGTTTTCCTATTCTTTGATTTCCTATTCTTTGATTTTCCACTTTTTTAGGCAAACAAACAGGCCCTAAGGAAAGGAAAGAAAGATGATATTGTGATATATACTACTTCACCAATTTTTGCTTAAGGGGTTTATTCAAACCCCTTACATTCTAAAAAGATAAGTTCATCAGAGTGAACCCCCTCTATCAACTGAAGAGGGATTAATATAACTTGTCATATTTATCAAAGGAGAGAAAATTTTGCAAAGTCAGGTTTGTTTCTGTTGTTTTGGACTTGAATCCAGGGTTTTTCGGCTTGTAATTTACCAAGCATGGATAGTTGAGTGATGTCACCAGCCTGAATAGCTAGCCCCTTTCTAGGAATTTTCACCCAGGAATTTTTAGTATGTGGTGCATTTATCTCCCAGAATTTTCTAGGTAGGGAAACATTACCATTCACAGAATCTGGAACGTGCACAACATGCACAGTGAGATTTCTAGTAAATTGAGCTTCATTTCCAAGAGTAATCATCACAGATTTACCTTTTACCGGGAAATCTTTATTTACAACTATATCAGCTAGGAAATCTTCATTTACAGCTATATCAGCCTGCACATATTTGTTTGCCAGATTCATCTTGAAGGCTACATTCTTAACAGATATCTCTCAAGATTTTCCAAGTTGAGAAACAATATTCCCTGAATCTGGAACATGCACAACATGCACATGGTTTCCAGTTTGTTAAGCTTCTTTCCCAGGGGTAATCAATACAGATTTACCTTTATCTAGTTTAATACTAACTCCATTTACATTTAAAGCCTGAGTATCAGCCTACACAACATTACTTGCCTGAATCATCTTGGAGGCTACATTATTACCAGGAATATCATTTTTTTTTCTTAGAGACCCACTTTTGTAATTTAGCTTGCCTCCAACAATGTAAAGTATCATGTTCCACTTGCTTACACTGATCACACCATCTTGGTTTCATTTCATAAATCACCTTTTGTTGATATTGTTTGCCATTTGGACCTTGAATTTTAATCTGATCAGGGAGGGTAGTAGGCAAATCCACTTCAATTAAGACTCTAGAATATGCTAGTCTTTGTCTATTTGTAGTGAGTTTATCAGTAGTGATGGGCCTACCAATAAGACTGGAGATTTTACTAATACATTTAGCATTCTATAGGTTGAGCCTAAGTGCAGGAAGGTGTATCCACATAGGATAGGTACAAGAATTAACCTTATCAACTACATCTCCATTATTCCAGGGTTTAAGCAAGAAGGGTCTAGATCCAAAAAACCAAAGACCACTGACTAGGATATCATTCATATCATCTTTATTCCTAAATTTGAAAAGGAATAAACCAGCCTTAAGTAAGCAGATTTCAGGCATTGCTTTATTCATCCAGATTTTTTGAATAAAATTCTCCATTACCTTGAACCTAACATTTAATCCCAAAACTTGGCCAACAAGAGAAAATTCCCAAATTGAACACCCTTCTTTCCATTCATCATCATCAAAAATCACAGAATCATTAGAATCAGATGGCATAAAATCCAAATTTAATCCACTTTCAAACTTTCTATTATCAGCAAACAAATTTACGCAGCTTTTCTTGTTTTTATCCTGAATCTTATCATGAGAAACAGGATCAGATGGAGAAGCTAGGTTACTAGAGTTTGGCTCAACATTAGGCATATCAGAGTTCATCTTCTTAAGAGCAGAAATCAAAGAATCGTTAGCATAATCAGAAACAAAAACATGATTCAATGGAGAGTTATCTCTGATAACCTTATCATCAGATATCGATGAAACAATAACTGGATCAGAATTCAAATCAGATTTTAATGGAGAATCACCTTCAGCCTTCCTCAAAATAGGAGGAGAAAAAGAACATATAGAATCCTTCTCCAAATCAACTTCCTCCACCTAAGAAAAGAATCCTAGCAGATTTGACAATGCGACTTTGAGAATTGGAAAGAAGATGAGATTTAAAACTAGATCTTAGAGGATCAATCAAAGGAGCAGCAGCTTCAAAAATTTTACTCATAGACTTCTTCTTCTTCTCCACCTTAGGACCAGTTGATCCCATTTTAATTGAGGTCAAATCTTCATCAAACTCCACAATACTATCATTGAATTGATTAGCTGAAGAAGACGAAGTTGGATTCATAGCTCGAAGACCGATTGAAAGAATTTTTTCCCGCTAATCTTCTTTTTCTTTGCCATTTTTGAACTCAGCAGACGGCGCAAGTTAGAAAGAAAGATCGCATTCTAACCTACGCCTAACTGCTCTAACTGTTAGATTGATTATGGTTGTAGAAGCTTATAACAGTTTGATCTGTTATCACGACTTTCTCAATCTAGATGAGAATCTACACCCACGCGTCTAACAAAATGTCAAAATATTGATTACTTCTTTAAATTTTACTTATTTTTGGATAGTTTAAAATTTCCATAATGAAAATAAAGTCATCTATAAGTTGATTTTGTACATGAATACATATCAAACTAGAAATTCATGAAAATTCACATGCAACCGAATGTTGATTGTTCAATTTTTTTATGAATAATATTTTTTTTCAGAATAAAGTTGCGTCAAAATCTCTTAACATTAATTATCTTTACAAAAACAAGCAATTATGAATAAGTTCAAAAGGTAACAATTCAAAAGTGCCAAATTTTGGATGTACATGCTAACACAAGGATGTTGTGCAACGTATAATTACTTTTCAACAACAATTTTGGACTTATCTATCTTTGAAAAATTCATACTCTCAAAATCTTATGTTAGACAAAAAAGAGAAGTTAATGTTGTAACCGTTCAAGTAAGTAAAGAAAGTTGGCGATACAATTCATGCAAGAGAAGGCCAACATACTCCTATGAGGTATCACGTGATTTTGTAACCCTAATACACCTTTTCTTATCCCAATTATAACCCTAGACAGAACAAATGTATTTTCTAACTTTAACTAATCTAACATATTTAAAATGCGTAATATAGCTAAGCCAACACTTAAACAGTGGCAATCTTTTAAATAATAAAAAACCTGTGCCTCTGCACGTAATTTAACCAATGTTTAGGGCTATATAACAGTCTCCAAAGTGAGCGAGTGAGAGAAATTAAGCATGGAGTTGGAGATGGAGGAGACCATAATAAACATAATCTATGGTGTTTGCCTCAAGAATCAAACGATGGGAACTGCTCATCATCAAGTTGATGGTTGTTTGCGCTTTGTTGAGGATCAAGAAAGGCCTCATCTGCTCAGGTGTCGAAACTGTGCTTGTCATCGTAGTTTCCATTGGAGGCAAATTTACGTTGGCCATGGCCGTGGTCATGGTGGTGGTCGTGGTGTTGAGGCTGGTCGTGGTCAAGGAAGAGGTCGAGGTCGTGGTAGGGGGCGTGGACGTGGGCGTGGTAATGGAGGGGGAGGTGATGATGATGATGCCTCTTCAACATCCTCTACTATTACCAACGAGTGAAAGGGGTAGAAGTTGTCCTTGTTTTGTTGTTTGAATAATTTGGAAGTGGAACTAGGTTGTTGTCTAGCTTCTTTTTCTTTTCATTTTTCATTTTTTTTCTGGTTAACAGGTTGTTGTCTAATCAATGTGATGTGTGATGTGCTTCTAATTATGTATATTCGTAATATGTATGGATGTTTGGGTCAATTTTAAGCTTGTTGAAATATTAATAGGTAGGTTTATGGCTTAATGGGTTTACAATGGGTTGCCTCTACATAACTTACGAAGAAAGGAAAGATAATGGTGTTGCTCGACAGTGGTTTAAGTGAAGAGTTAACGAGATTTAATTAACTCGCAACGTGAAACACAAAATTTGTAAATTTACCAATTACATATGAAATAAAATGAATTTAATTAACTCGACAGTGGTTGCCTCTATATATATTCTTCTATTGTTGGAGGAAAAACTAAGAAGAGGAGAAGTAGAGAGTCAATATTCTAGTAATTTAGGGTTAGCAGGGGGTGTAGCCTGATTCAAGAATATTGTACGAGAGGCAATGATTTCGTAGTCTTTGTTTGTGTAAAAGATTACATCATTGGAAGAGGGTCTCGCAATCTTTATCCATTCAAAAGATTGTAAGAAACAGACTTCAGAAAGAATATGAGAATTGATTATGTATGTGAGGTTGAGAGATTGAGAGACAAGAGTTGAGTGGTTTTACTTGTAGTTCTCCCTGATACATAGTGGATTTCTCATATTGTTGCTCTGTGGACGTAGGTCGAAGTTGGTCAACCGAACCACGTAAATTTTGGTGTTCTTTCTTCTTGATTGTGGTTGTTTTATACTCTTGTTGATTGTGGTTGGCTTCCAAGTTGCACAAATTGTAGTAGGTGGGGAGACTAAAATATCCAACAAGTAGTATCAGAGCAATGGTGATGAATCCGGGAGTTAGTTTTTAAGATAGAAGTTGTCGTCATGCGAGATTAAAGATCGGCTTTACAAGAATCAAGAAGAAGAAAAAGAAAAAGAAAAAAGAAGGTACTATAGTACGCGAATGCTGTAGCAACAAGAATATTGTTCACGTGGGTGAGGGGTTGGTTAAAAATTATTAAATCAACTCTAATGGTGCAGATTAATTTGTTTTCTGATCAAGGATTTGGAGGTAGATTTCAACAATCCAGGAGTTGAATCCTAGGTTTTGGAGTGCTCTGAATGCGATGGGAGGGTTTGATTTTTTAGATTTTACGTAGATTATTTAGAAAGTGCTAAAAAGTTTTGATGGTGGCAAGACAAATCTGATGGCAGATAGGGTAAATATGTATGCGACGGGTAAGACTAGTGTAGAGAATTAGATGTAATTCTAGCAGTAGAGTTGTCAGCATATAATTATTTAGAGTCATCGCGGAAGCAGTAGTTGGTTGGTGTGTAGACTCGAGGAGGACAATGCCAGATTAGGCAGAGCTTGCAAGTGGGAATGATCGAGTGATACATAGGGAGATGGAGATGGTGACATTGGACTTGAAGACAATTAGCACTCATATTCGGTCCAAGTCAAGTGATGAAGGAGATTGAGGCAGCTGGCTCATAGTATGGAGTAGGAGAGGTACACCGATATGATTCGAGATGAGCGATGTAGGTGGAGTATAAGGACAGCAAGTGGGTGAAGGCTACTGTCAAGTTTAGTTTGGGAGGAGAAGCATGGTTGATTTGCTTCTAATGTTAGAGGTGGCGAAGATCTCTTTGTACACAAGAGAGGTGGAGACACCACAGCAAGACGGATGAAAGTGAGGGTTATAGGGGCATCTCAATTGGAGTGCAGGTGCTTCGATTTGAAGTGCGAAAGAAATAGAAAACTCTAGCGGGAGAGGCAAAGTTTCAAAACGACGATGATATATCTTCAAGGGAGTTTGGGAATCAAATCCATGGTGAAGATTGTTTGGATTGTGTCATCGATTCTTTGTATAACTTCATGAGAATTAGATAGGGTTAAAGATCTATCATGATTAGAAGATTGGGTCTCATCATGATTAGGTGTTTGAATCCTATTCTAATTAGGAAGTTAGACTAGAAATAGAATTTGGGTTTTTTCCTACATATATTCTTCTATTGTTGGAGAAAAAAACTAAGAAGAGGAGAAGTAAGAGAGCCAATATTCTTGTAATCTAGGGTTAGCAGAGGGGTAGCTTGATTCAAGAATATTGTGCGAGAGGCGAGGGTTTTGTAGTCTTTGTCCGTGCAAAAGATTACCCCATTAGAAGAGGGTTTCGCAGTCTTTGTCCATTCAAAAGATTATAAGGAGGGGGCTTCGAAGAGAATATGAGAGTTGATTATGTATGTGAGGTTGAGAGATTGAGAGATGAGAATTGAGTGTTTTTTCTTGTAGTTCTCCCTGATACATAGTGGATTTCTCATATTATTGTCCTGTGGACGTAAGTCAAAGTTGGTCGACCGAACCATGTAAATATCAGTGTTCTTTCTTCTTAATTATGATTGTTTTATATCTTGTTGATTCTGATTGGCTTCAAAGTTGGTCGACCTATATACTATGCCTCTCTTTATTCAAGGTCCTTGTGGGTGTTCACAATGAACTTGAGAAGATTCAGCGGTAGCTCTTATGGGGTCGCAGCAAGTTAAAGAGAAGTTTGTGCAAGGTGAGATGGTCCCAAGTGCAGCTTGCTTAAAATCATGGTGGCCTTACTGTTCGTAGTTTTGAGCACATTAGCATTGCATTACTCTATAAATGGTGGTGGCATTTTGTGATTGTGGCATTTTGTGATTGAACGTGATTCATTGTGGCAGAAACTTTTACTGAAGAAGGATAATTGGGACACCAATGAATGGTACCTCAGCTCTCTTGATTTTCTCTAAGGTATCCTTTGGCATGAAAAGTAAACTTTTTCTGTAGGAGATTTTGAGGCTGGTACTATTAAATATTGTATATAGAGTACTCTTGTTTAATCCCACATTAGGTAGAGTAGTAAAATAATTATGTTCGCATTGTATAATAGACAGCAATATCAATAAAGATAGATATCCATTTCTCCTCATTTGCTCTGCATTTAATGTAGTATCAGAGCCATCCTCTTGATCCTAAAGAGATATCTTTCTTCTTCCTCTACATCGAGCCACCAAGGGGGTTTGCTAAAAACTTTATGCTTCCCCTTGGCGTCCTCAACACCGAATTCAACCTTGACGCACCGCCTCATCGCTCACAACCTCTGCTCACACGAAAATCCTAGCCATAATCTCGCCGCTTGGCATAATGACATTGTTCATCCATAGACTACTATTCATTCACGGAAAGCTCCGCTCACAACAAAACACTAGTCTTAACCTCACCACATATCTGTCTCCAAAATTACTTCACACAGTTATATCGCTACATTCGTTGCTCCTTCTTGTGTCATACAGGATCCTCGCACTGGGAAAATGATTGGGACTAATCGTAATCTCGGTGGCCGATACTACATGGATAAGCTTATTTTACTTGGTCCGACTACTTCTGTTATCCACCTTCTCAACTTCAAACCCACCGCCTGCGATCTCTAGCATCGTCGCCACGGTCACCTATCCATTTCTCATCTTTGTACTCTTTGCTCAACTGGCAAACTAGGAATCTTTTCCACAGATGTATTGTCTCCTTGTACTAGCTGTAAGTTGGCAAAACACTAGGCCCTTTCTTTTCACATAAGTAATAAAAATACATCTGCACCTTTCGAACATATTCACACCGACATCTAGGGGTCATCCCTGTAGGCATCGAAAATTACCTATAGGTATCCGCGAACAGCTCAGTGTTAAGAAATGACGATGAACGTCACCATTTGGTTCACAGAAGCTTGATTGATGTCGATGAACGCTTGAAGTAAACCGACGAACTACGTGAAGCAACGGAGTTTCAGAATAACGAGACACGAACTGACCGGGAACCTCGTATCGTTCACAAACGACGAAATACCCTTCGTGTCTCATTTATTCCACGGATAATTTAATCATTGGAGCTTATAGGACTCCTCATCGGCTTTCCAACGCACTTTGAATCACTCAAATCCGAGTTCGGACGAAGAATTTACGGCGAAAACAATCAAACAGGCATAACGAGAGTCTCAGGCTAAACTGAGAAACCCAAGGGTGTCTCGGCCCTAGTTGAGACACTAGAGGGTGTCTCCAACTCAGATTCGTCCTGTGCCTATAAATACAAGCCCCGGGGCCTCATTTTTTTAGATCTGGAGTTTTGGAGAATTGGCGAAGCCCTGCCGGACTGAAGAGTGATCGAGTTCTTCAACGCAAGAGATCGAGAGTCGTCAGATCTGCATCACCCGCATCCGATACTTAGTATTATCCCGTTGTGATAATTTTAAGAAGAGCAATTATCTCGCTGTTGTCGAGATAAGCGATTCTGCTTCTAGATTCCTTCGCGGATCGATGAAGTTCTGGACCTGGTCTGATTGCCAGGTAATCCACGGATATCAACGTCCCCGTCACCGGCTAAAGACCCACACAAGCAAGAAACAACGAACGGATCTTGCGTTATTTTCGAAAAGTTGTAATATTTCATTTTCTTATTTTTTATTGAATATCTTGAATTCTTTGTAAGCGATCCAGATTATAATGAATTCGACAGTGAAGGCAACTTTCTCCGAAAACAAACTGGCGACCACAGTGGGAGCCAACAGCCTCGCTGCCGAGGCTGTCGTGACACAACCGACATTCAAGATCCGGGTGAATGAAGAGATCGAATACGAGTTCGATCAAAAGAAGTTTGAAGAGTACCTATCTTCCTCCTCCTCCAGATCCGCCTCTCCAAACAAGCGTAGGAAGACTTCCTCTTCCAGGAATGTTTGTGGGACCTCAGGGTTGAAGATCCAAGATCCCCTCGCCATTGCTACACCCACGCCCCGCGACGTCCCTGCAGTGTCCAAAGAGGTCAAAGCTGCAGATCCGGACCTCCCCTCCGCCGTGAAGGTAACTGCTGAAGGTGATCCAACTTTGTCGAAGAGGGCGCGCCAAAGATATCGTCAACGCCTTGCTCAACAATTGGCCAAGGCTGCAGAGTCGATGGACGGAGTCCGCTACACTAAGGACCTGAAATCAAGTCAGTGCCAGGAACAGCAATGGCGAACCGCCAGCCTCTCCTCTAAGGCGGAGACGAATGAATGGGTCCGTGTTAAGAAGACTCGCTCCACTCTCGAAGAGCGAATCAAGAAACGCCGCGCATTGCTCGCGCATGCCCGAGTCCTTCTGCAGAAAGCGAAAGAGATGCAGAAAGAAGATACGGTCAAAAAGCCGCCTAGACACAAGCAGGTGTGGGTGCCAAAGACAAAACCA